CGGACGTTTAACCGACTGAGCCACCCAGGAGCCCCACAATATATTTTTAAATGAGGGTATATACATTGTTTTTGTTTTTGTTTTTTTTTTATTTAAAATTTTTTTAATTTTAGAGTGTGAGCAGGGGAGAGGGGCAGAGGGAGATAGAGAATCTTAAGCAGCTTCACGGTCAGCACAGAGCCTGACACAGGGCTCGATCTCAACAACCCTGAGATTGTCACCTGAGCAAAATCAAGAGTTGGGTGCTTGACCAACTGTCTGAGTCACCCGGGAGCCCCTGTGCATTGTTTTTTTAGACCTGCTATTGCACACTTAACTAGACTACAGTACAGTGTAAACATAACTTCTATAGGTACTGGGAAACCAAAAACTTCACTTGACTTGCTTTATTGTGACATTTGCTTTGTTGCAGTGGCCTGAAAGTGTACCCACAATCTCTCTGAAGTATGCCTGTGTATTAATAGTTCAAGGTGTTAAAACTGGCTCAGTGTTAACAGTCCTTCTCTCCATTCTGTTCTGCTGCTGCACTGGCCAGCATCACAACAAATCAACAATCTCACAGGAAAGAGCTCTTTCCTCAGAAGATCCAGTTGTAATTTTGAGACTGATTTCTGATTGGCTGGGCTGAAGTCATATGCTCATCCTTGAGCCAATCACTGTGGCTGAAGGGATGTAGAGTCCCAATTGCCTGGCTGTGAGTCATGTGCCCAGTTATATCCCTCAGCTCCCTTTCAACCACCCAGATGGAGTGTGGGGATGAGGTGGTTCACCAAAGGAAGGGCCTGGCGTGAAGCCAGCATGCAGGGAGGATGGGGGTGTGCAGGGGGTTGGGGGGTGGTGATTGACAGAGAGGCAAAACAGCAGATGTCCTCTATAGTTAGTTCTGGGCCAGAATAAGTAATGAATCAGGGATCGTGTTAGCTTTCTTGGCCAGCCGGCCCATGGGTGCTTGGTTCCAATTGGCTGTTGTAGGGGCCTTTCCTAGGATAAAGACTAGGGGTGGCCAGGAGGGAGGGATCCTCAGAGTGGAAGCTAGCTATTTCCCCTGACTGCCCACATGACCCAAGCTCAAAGCCAGAAACAGCCTGTGATTGAATAATTGCTGGTGCCTGTAGATTGTGCACACATGTAAATATGGCTGAGGTCCTAAAGAGAGGACTGTGGTCTCCTCGGGCACCATCCCCAGACACTGGGCCACGCTATTCCTACATTGTGGCTATGTGTATACCACTCTTCATTGGGTATCTACTGTCTGTACATTAAAAAGCCCATTAACCCCTCCAAACTTTATTTCTGTGGCAAAATAGGCCCAAAGAGTGAGTAATGGGTGCAGGTTTCTTTTGGGGTGATAAAAATGTCCTAAAACTGATTGTAGTCATGGTTGTGCAGCTGTGTGAATGTCCTGAAAACCACTGACTTGTGGATCCACTAAGTGGATGACGTGTATGATAATCTGAATTGAATCACAATAAAGCAGTTGCACACACACACACACACGGCACAAAACCAGCCCAGCACCCTGGAGAGTGCAGATAGATGAGGGGGCTCGTGAACGCCATGCCAGGGAAGAAGCAGTTTCTAGCCTTTCCTAGTGCATCTGAGCGGTGCTTACTTATTGGGGGCACCTGTCAGAGCTGGGCTTTGGGCACTGTGAGCTGTGGACTGAGAGCTGCTGCCCAGCCAGGCTTGCTGCATACATCCTGCGTCTCTGGCTGCTCCCACACCGGGAGGGGGCATTCTCGGGGTGGGGGGGGGTGGGTTGGGGAGGAAGACAAAGGGGCACTGGGTTTGCCAAGCCTTAAGGGCTTGTGTGTGTGGCTCTGCAGAGAACTTGGGGAGAAGTGGTTCCGGAGAGGCTTCTTGGGTGCTCTGCAAGCTGAAAGTCTGCGGATGGGGCTAACTGCCTTTTCTATCAGAAAATTAGAGCCAGGGGTCCTTGTAGACTCTGACAGGCAATACAGGGACATTGGGAGGGGGAGTCTGGGCACAAAGAAGTGGGTGGATGTCTCGTCCTGCACCTGCATGCTGGTGGCGTCTAGACCAGCTGCTGCTTCATCGGCCATACCTCCTGGACATCACTTCATTCGTTTCAGCATCTATTGAGTGCCTACTGTTTACCAGGTGCTATTAGTGCTAGGCATAAAGAGTCACCTAAGACCTTGTTCCACCTTGTTCCTAACCATAACCCTTGAGGTATCCACAGGCCATGCCTGAGCCCCTAATTTATGTCCAGGTCTATTGTGGGATTGTAAAGAGGAAAGATGAATAAGATCCAGTCCCTGCTTGTAGGATGTCTGCATCTGATTAGAAGGTTTTAAGACAACTCAAACCCACTTACTAAGACAATGCAAGTTAAAACCTCAATGACACAGTAATTTTCACCTAGTAAGAAATTTTAAAACTTGGAATCCAGCATTGGTGAGGGTTTGGGGAACCAAATTTCTACTGGCCAGTCCTTGGGAGGAAGGAGCCCAGCTGCTCCCAGGCTGCATTTGGCAAAGCAAATCATTGCCACATTGTGTTCAGGTAACTGAGCTCTTAGAGGCTGGAGAAGATCAGAGGCCAGAGACAAGATTCAAGGACTTCGAAGGTTAAAAGGTTTGAGGGTCCAGCTTTCATCCTAGGCTGGAACATTGACACTGAGGAGCGATTGACAGGCTCCCTCCCGTCCTGTGGAGTGAGAGCCCTCAGTTGGGGGAGCACTGGGTTCTGAAAACAGGGTTCCCACAGCTTCTGGACTGGACACAGGAAGTCCAGGGCTGGTCAAGGCCCTGCTGTAGATGGAGGAGTAGATGAGCCCAGGGCATGGGCTCCCAGGGAGAAACTGTCTGGGACGATGTGAGATGCTGTGTGGACAGTCTGTCATTTCTCTGTGTCTGCGTGGGATAACGTAGGTAGCTCCAGCTCTCTGTAAGTGTGTGTGCGTGCGTGCGCTGTGTTTATTCAACACACTGAGCACCTGCTCTGAGCCAGGTGTCACAGATACATCCATGAAGAAGACAGACAAAATTGCTGCTTTTCTCATGTTTACATTTGGGGAAGAGGGTTCAGAGAACAAACAAGGGGAAAAAATGAGTAATTTCAGATAGTGGTAAGCACCGTGAAGAAAATGAAACAGGGTGATGTCATGTAAAGTGGGGCTGCCTGGCTGTTTTAGATAAGGTAGCCGGAGGCCTTTTGGGGGAGGTGACAGTTGGTCCAAAACTTGAATTTGGATCAGGAGCCAGGCAGGCCAAGTTCTTGGAGCAGAGAGAACAGCAAGTACAAAGTCCCTATTAGACAAAATACCACAGGCTGGGTGGTTTAAGCAACAGAAATCTATTTTCTTATAGTTCTGGAGGCTCGAAGTCCAAAATCAAGGTGAGGTGCCAGCAGGATTGGTTTCCCCTAAGGCCTGTCCCTGGCTTACACATGGTCACCATGGCTTCATGTGGCCTTTGGGGGCTTGAACTCTGAGCTCTGAGGTCAAGAGTCTGACACTTAACCAACTGAGCCACCCAGGTGCCCTTTTTTAAAATTTTATTTTAAGTTTATTTATTTATTTTGAGAGAAAGACCGAGTGCACAAGTGGGAGAGGGGCAGAGAAAAGGAGGGACAGAATCCCAAGCAGGCTTTGTGTCATCAGCACAGAACCTGATGTGGGGCTCAAACCCACAAACTGAGATCACGACCTGACCTGAGATCAAGAATCGGGTGTTGTTTGATTTTTAATTTTTTAAAATATTTTTATTTTTGAGACAGAGCATGAGCAGAGGAGGGGCAGAGAGAGAGGGAGACACAGAATCTGAAGTAGGCTCCAGGCTCCGAGCTGTCAGCACAGAGCCCGACGCGAAGCTCGAACTCACAGACTGTGAGATCATGACCCGAGCTGAAGTCGGACGCTTAACCGACTGAGCCACCCAGGTGCCCCAAGAATCGGGTGTTTAACCGACTGTGCCACCCAGGCACTCCCCCATCACCTTTTTTTAAACCTTAATTAACTCTTTAAAGTTCCTACTTCCAGGGGTCCTTGGCTGGCTCAGTCAGTGGAGCATGTGACTCGATACCTGGGTCGTGAATTTGAGCCCCATGTTGGGTATGGAGATTACTTAAATAAAGTTCCTATCTCCAAAACCAGTCACATTCTAAGGTACTGGGGGTTAGGGCTGCGACATAGGAATTTGAGAGACACAATTCAGCCTCTAACAGGACCTGAGGTAGCAATGGGCTTGGCAGGTTCAAGGAGAGGACAGGGAGACAGGGCTTGAAGCTGGGGTGTGATTAGGGATGTGTTCTTAGGGTAGTGGGAAGCCACTGGGGGCCCGAGTCCTTCTGTGGGTCTCATGGCCAATCTGTGAGTGGTTTATGTGTGATTGTGCATTTCTGTAGGAGAAAAGCACAGAGTCATGGCTTGGGTCTATTTCATGGCTGTTTCTGGGCCGCAGAGTAGCAAACCCACCCCCCCAAGTCTGAGAACAAGAGCCACCTGTGTTTCCTTCCCCACCTGAGCTCCTTTTCCTTCTCCTCTCTCCAAGAATTAAAGGCTGGTGGGTGTCTCACCACTACGTGTCCACGTTCCTCTCTGGAGTGATGCTGACCTGGTGAGTCTCATGGGGGTCCATGAATGGGGGGAGCTGGCGGTAGGCAAGGGGGCACCTTTGGGGCTCCTGGCCTGGGCTGACTTTTGGGCCAAGAAGGAAAGCGTGAGCTTATAGCCAGGCCGCAGGGATCCCCCAGGCCCACTGGGAGGTTTCTGGGGAGGTCCCAATGGCCTGCTGGCTGAGGCAGAGGTAACAGGGAGTGACAGATAGAGCACACGGATGAGGCTCCAAAGGAGACAGATGGAGGGAGTGGGAATCAATAAGAACTTAGGCTTCAGAATGATGATAATGTGTCCCCAGGTTGTAGAACGGGCTTAAAGCAATGATGGAAGTAATCTGGTCCAGCCTGAGAGACACTGGTGCTGAAGAAGGGCAGAAATCAGGGACCTCCGTTTAATTTTAAAAGCTTTTCTCTCTTAGTTGGAACAGAGAGGGACAAGGATGAATGTCTGATTTCACAGCATGCCTCACCTTTGCTTTTCCCCACTTCTCTGCAGGCCTAACGGATTAATTTATCAGAAGTTTCGTAATCAGTTTTTAGCGTTTTCCATTTTTCAGAGTGAGTGTCTCTTGCCTAGATTGGGGGGAGGGGGCATGGTTTCCTGTGGCTTTCACTGATGAGGCCCCTGTCATCCCTCCTCGCTTGTGAGGAGTGTGTCTGGTGTGGAAGGGAGCTCCAGGCAGGGGAGGATCCCAGAAATCCAGGAAAGAGGCATCTCCTCCCAGATCACTGCCCCATCCTGGGGTAGGGGCAGCCTGACCACCCTCACCCCTAGAATCCCTCACCACTGCCTTTTCTTCCACACGTCACAACTGGACTAGTTGTGACTTTTGTGAACTGAGTGGTGTTGAAGGCACAACTCAAAATGGAAATAGAGTATATGTTCTTTTTCTCATTTAAGAATAGCTCTGGATTTATGTACAGTGAACTGGTCCCAGAGGTCACCTCTGGGAATTGGAAGCTTGGATAGTTGGGAATAGCAATAGAGAGTTCTCTTTTTCATCCAGTACCTGTTTGTTCCCTTTGAATTTTATAGTGTGTGCGTATTGCCAATTAAAACAATACAATTTGATTTTTTAAAATTTATTTTTAATGTTTGTTTATTTTTGAGAGAGAGAAAGCACGTGAGCAGGGGGGAGGCAGAGAGGGGGACAGAGGATCCGAAGCAGACTCTGTGCTGACAGCAGACAGCCAGATACAGATACGGGGCTCAGATATGGGGCTCAAACTCACGAACTGTGAGATCATGACCTGAGCCCAAAGCAGGAATCAGATACTTAACGGACTGAGCCACCCAGGTGCCCCATGGTGGGTATTTTTCTGTGTCAATACAGAGAAGGCTATCTCTTCATTTTTAGTAACTACTAAGTATCTCATTGTATGAAAATGTCTCTTGCTGTCTTAGCATTACACACAGCTCCCAGCATGATGCCACCATTCCAACAAGTATCTATTGAGTGCCCACTGCATGCTTAGGAAAGCTCTAGAAGTTTCTAGTCTAATTGGTGCTTAGCTGGGTCTTCAGATAACCTGCTCCCATTGTATTCTGGATAAGGGATAAAGTGGGTTCAGGCTGAGTGTGTGTGTGTGTGTGTGTGTGTGTGTGTGTGTGTGTGTGTGTGTGTGTTGGGAATGGGAGGGGGTTGCCCTCTGGGCAGTGAAGACCCCTGGGTCTGCACAGAGCTGGTGCCCGGTCCTGCAGGCTCTGAGCCTGGTGCTGTGCTCCCCCTGCAGGCTGTGTCCAGTTCCTGCAATATTATTACCAGAGGGGCTGCCTCTACAGGCTGCGGGCTCTGGGAGAGAGGAATCATCTGGACCTCACGGTGGGTAAGTAGCCCAGCCTGGGGGTAGGTAGACGAGTACTGGCCCCTCCTTGCTCCCCCAGACCTCACCCCTAATTTCCTACACTGGGAGCACAGACCAATAAAAACATAATAAGACCTACCACACACAAGACCAGGGCTGCTGGCCTCTTGCCTAAGTTGCTTTTCATAATTCATCATGAATTCTGTTTCAGCTGACAAGCTTGAGGCCAGCTGTGTGCCAGGCCTTGATGCATGCTTCTGTGTTACCAAGTGTCTATTTCTTTTAATCTGTGTTTTATATTATAATGCTAGCCTAGTGTTGTGCATGTATAATTTGTGTATAATATACCTATATATAAATATATATAGACACATATATGTATATACATTGGGAAGGTGTGCTTAATTTTTAAAAATTTTTTAAAATTCTCTTTTAATGTTTATTTTTGAGAGAGAAAGAGAGAGTGGGGGAGAGGCAGAGAGAGAGGGGGGACAAGAATCTGAAGCAGGCTGCAGGCTTTTAGCTGTCACCACAGAACCTGACACGGGGCTTGAACTCATGAACCATGAGATCATGACCTGAGCCGAAGTCGGACGCTTAACCGACTGGGCTACCCAGGCGCTTCTTTTTTTTTTTTAACTCATGGGGCGATTGCCCAGTCAGAAGAGCTTGAGAACTCTTGTTTCAACTTTCACAGGAAACTCATAAAATTCTGCCATCTTTTGAGATGGTCATTTTCATTGAATTACTCTGCAACGTAGGCCCTACTTTGTCAGGACTCAGTTGAAGTGATGCATGCAAAAGTCCATTATAAAATGCAAAATTCTGTGCAAATTAAAGAACTTATTAAAACACAGTGCCTGCCATGTCAGCTTTCTGCAAGTGTCATCCAGCTCTAGGAGTTCTTGGTGACTTGAGGCCTGAGAGCAGTCAGGCCTGGTGTCAGGTGTTCTGCATGTTCTCTGGGTGATTTTCATAGCTGAGTGCTCACCCATCCACGAGAGGAGAGGGTTGTCCTCCCTGCCCCGTGTGGCTAGTCTCGGGGTGACTGGTGTGGCTAGGCCGCAGGCGCCTGGTGGGGCTGTGGGGGCAACTGAACCCCCTCACATGGGCCCTTGGCTTCCTCCTTCCTCTCCACAGAAGGGTTCCAGTCCTGGATGTGGCGGGGCCTCACCTTCCTCCTGCCTTTCCTGTTCTGTGGCCATGTGAGTCCCCCTGGAGTTTGTGGGTGTCCCCTGCTCTGGGCTGACCCTGGGAACGGGAGGTCTTCAGGCCTCTCCCACATTCACCAGCCATCCCCGGGCTGGGCCCTACAGGGTCCTGGCATGCCAAAGGCAAGAGACAGAAGTGGCCCTCAGCACCAGCATGCTGATTCCCACATCTTCAGGCTGTTCTGGCGTAGGGTGGCCCCAGTTTCATTTTGGGGGGTTCTCAGTGTCTTGGGATAGGTGATACCAGAACCTTGGGGGAGCCTGGCCCATTCCCTGGGGTTCCCCATGTGGGACTCCAGGGGAGTCTGTTGGGGCAAGCGGCGCCTGCCTCCCTCTCTCCAGTTCTGGCAGCTCTACAATGCCGTCACGTTGTTTGAGCTCTCCAGCCACGAGGAATGCAGAGAATGGCAGGTATGGGGTGTGTGTGTGCGTGTGTGTGTGTGCGCGTGCGCGCGCGTGTGCGTGTGTGTTGGTGGGTGGCAGAGGGTGTCCTGCAGAAGGCTGGGCCAGCTTGGAGAGAATTCTTTCCTCAGCTACCCCTTGATTCCCCACCATGGGGCCCTGTGCTCAGAGCTCCCTGCTACTGGGGCCTGGGAGACTGGGAGGGAACTCGGGAAGCCGCGGAACCCCTAAGTGGTCTGAGAGCCCTATTGAATGCTATGGGTGGGGAGGGGCAGGGGCAAGAGAGAAGCCATCTCCAACCCTCCGTGACCCTGAAGATTCACAGCCTTCACACAGTTGGCCCAGATCTCTGCTTTCTGCTGGTGGAACCCTGCAGTTTTCTGGCAGCTTATGCTAAGGGGGTCGCGAGGTCACGGAGGCAGAGTGGGCATCTCAGCCGGGAGCCGATCTGAGCTGGCTCAACCTTTTCCTCCTTTCCCCTCCCCCGTGCTGGGCCTTCCCCTGTCTTCCCGCACGCCTCTGCCCCTGCCCAGGTGTTCGTGTTGGCGCTCACTTTCCTCGTCCTCTTCCTTGGCAATTTCCTGACCACACTCAAAGTCGTGCACGCGAAACTTCAGAAGAACAGAAACAAAGGGAAGAAGCTGTGAGCCAAGGGACCTGTGCACCCCCAGCCCCTGGGGTTCAAGACTGCAGGGGGTTCCAGCTGGCACCTGGCCGCACCTGATTTCCTCCCCACAGTGTCCTTGGCCACTGCAGCAGCCACCTCAGGGGCCAGCGCATCACTGGTAGAAGGGCCAAGGCCCTGGTCCCCGGTGGACAAGAGGAATGTGGCCCCTGCCCGTCTGCACAATGTTAGCCTGCTCAGCCTCCCTATTTATGACATATTTAACACGGGGTCCTCCCGACTGCCCTAGAATCCGCAGTCTTCCCTCGCTGCCCTCTCACGGCTGAGACTGGGTCAGTCTTCCTGGGCGGGGGCCTAAAGCCTCAGGGAGCCCCTCAGGTTGGGGTTTGGATGTGCCTCGCTGGAGTGCCGACCTGCTACTTACTGAGTCCCCAGCAGGTGGAAGGAAACCCCTCGGCGTCCTGTGGAGCCTCCCTCCCCGGGGCAAACCGGCAAAGCGCTTCCGCTGTAAGCTCTCCCGGCCTCCGCTGCTCCGTGGTGGGGTATTTAAGTTCTCAGAGAATCACTGTCTGTCTGTGCCTGGTGCTCTTTGTGCTTCCTCTCCCTCCGCTGGCCACCTGGGGAGAAGTGCCCTGCCTCCCAGAGGGCCTGGTCCCTGGGGTGGGCCTGAGGCGAGGGGTCGTGCTGCTACCACCAGAGGGCGCCCCAGCCTTGGCATCACTTGGGTGGTTTGAGATAGTTTGGTGTTGGGTTTTTTTGAATTTGAAATTTTGGCTTCCTGACCCCCACCCCTCAGCCCACTTTCCTGAATTCTCGCAGTGAGTGGGACCCTTACTTTCAGCGCTGGCTGGGACTTAAGCCATCACAGAGCTCACCCACCCTCCCCGTCAGGTTCTAGAATGTTGGTGGGGAGAGTCTGAGCAGGCTCACTTCTGGGAGGTGGCACTTGGAAGCCAGGACAAGTCCGCTGGTCACCTTGTGTCGGATTCTGTACTTGAATGCTTGTGGGGAGGATGAAGAAGCTAGCAGGTTTGGTTGAATGTTCGGCGCCTTCTCCCACACGCGAGCCTCAGCTGCCTTTAACTATTTCCCTACAAATCCCCTCTGACCAGAGTTCAGGGCTGGCATCGCAGTCATGCTTTGGCTCTCAGAGGAGTTTAAGCTTCTTTTTTAATTGTTACATTTTTAAAATGTGAAATTTCCCCTCCACCCCAGTAGGAGTCCATATAAAAACCCAGATTTCTACTTTCCCTAGAAAAATGGAAAGATCTGTCAACATTCGCACAGGGCAGTTCTTGGCTGGGCTGAGCTGCCTGCCTAGGATGGGGCGCTTGCTTTCTAGTATATGCCACAGACCCACCACTCCCTTTTGTACCTGTCCTGTTTCACTCGTTCGCACCTCCATCTGGCCCTAAGGCACTTGAGTTTTCCTTAGACTAGGAGTCGGTAAACTTTTTCTGTAAAGGGCCAGATGGTAAGGAAATATTTGAGGGCCAGATAATCTGTTACAACTACCTTAGCCTGCAGTTGTAGGGCAAAAGCAGCTAATGCATACATAAATGAGCGTGGCTGTGTCCCAACAAAACTTTATTTACAAAAACAGGCAGCTGCCAGATTTGGTCCACAGACTGTACGGTTTGTGGACCTCCGTCCTATATCATTTATCATTTGTCCATGAGGACTTGGATTGACGACGCTCTTGACTCCCCAGGTCATGGCAGGGCCTTGGGGAACCTGTGTGAGGTGGGTGGAATACAGAAGTCTCTTTCCCTAGCAATTGACTTCAGAGAGGCTCAGGCTTAGTGGGGCTGAGGCAGGAGATCCCGGGGAGGGCAGGAGGCACCTGAAGCCGTTATGCCGCGTTCAGTAAGGCTGACTCCTGGCTCACTCAGGAGGCAAGCAGCTCTCAATCTGTGGGGCATTAGAATCACCTGGGGCACTTGTTTAAAAGCTCCCGGAAGTGACTGCAGACCTTCCAGGAGGAGGTTCAGTGGATCTGCAGCTGGGGGTTAAGTGTGTTTTCACAGGAGGTCAAGGGGGTCTCAGCTCCAGAACTCCACATCCTGGCAGAAGTGGAGGCTGTGAGGGACAGAGGAAACTTGATGACTATTAAAATGAGCCAGTGCCGTCCTTTTGCAGATAGGGAGATAGTCCACAGAGAGGAGTGACTTGCCCAAGGTCACTCGGAGCCAATGTCACTTTCATCTCAAGTTCCTGGCACTGGGGGGTTGCAGGTGAGGAGCCCCTGAGCAGGGGCTGGATGTGTGGTCCAGGGTACTTTTTGCTTTTTGAGAGAGTTTCTTGTCCCCCTTGGGCATGTGTGCCGGCTCTGCAAAGATGGTGGCCCAGCCAAAGGCTGAGACTGGAGTCCTCT